GGAGGCCAGAGGTCTCTTGTAGAGGTCCACTGTAGTTTGGGACTGGATGGACGTCTTACTGAACTTGGAGCTCACCATTGTGGGTAAATTGTCTGGTCAGCAAGCCCCAGGAGTCCTCCTGACTCTGCCTCCGCAGTGCTGGGATCACAGACATGCACCACTGTGTCTGCCTTCGGTTATTATCATTGGTTTATTTTGTGGGGGTGTGGGTGCTGCATCTAAACTCAGGTCCTCTGCCTACATGACAAACACATTACAGACGAAGCCCTTAATCTCCCTTCTTTATTTTGGGGGACAGGATCCTCCACATGTAGTAGCCCAGGCTAGCCTTGAACCTGGGCTGGCGTGGACTTTTCTGTCTCTGTCTCAGACTCTTGTATACTGGGATGACAGTTGTGTGCCATACCTGGCTTTAGTGGTAGCCTCTCTGGCAGGAAGGTTGAGTGTGTATGAACTGGTCTCTTTCCTTTCTTTTTTTTTAAGACAGTCTAGCCTGGAACTGACAAAGATCCACTCACCTCTGATTCCCAGTTGCTTGGATTAAAGGTTGTGGTGTCAGGCTTGGCCTCTTCTTTATTTTATTTATTTATTTATTTTTTTTATGACAGGGTTTCTCTGTAGCTTTGGAGCCTGTCCTGGAACTTGATCTGTAGACCAGGCTGGCTGGCCTTGAATTTACAGAGATCCAAGTTCTGGGATTAAAGGTGTGCACCACCAACACCTGAGCGCTGCCACCTCCCTTTTTATGAAGCCAGTAGCACTGAGTGTTAATCTCACTGCAGTGACGCTATCTGATTCCCACTCCCCAAGCTTTATGGGGATTAAAGCTTATATATACATATATATATGGGATCATTTTGGCTTATTTAACATGAGTTTCCATGAAGCAAATTATAGCAGTAATATTCAGACTATAATCTCATCTGTATGTAGGATTTGGTCTTTTAAAGCAAGGTCTATAAGATTTAGATTTACTTTTATATACATGAGTGTTTTGCTTGCACACTGCATGACTATTGTCCATGGGGGCCAGAAGAGGGAATTAAAACCCCTGGAACTAGAGTTATAGATGGTTGTTAGTAGCATGTGGGTCCAGGGTGCACCTAAGCCCCATCCCATCCCCAGGCCCCTCCACTTAAATGCACTAGAGTAAGAATTTCAGGCTTTGTAGAGCCTATAGTCTCTGTCATAGCTACTTGCCTCTGCTGATGCATTGTGAAAACTGCATCCCTGTGCGTGTGCCTGCATTCTAGAGACACTTTATACAAAAACTGGTCATCTACTTGTAGGGCAGAGCTGCTGATTCTTCATGGCTCAGTTTCAGGGAAACACACATTCCTTTGCAGGAGGTGGAGATGAATGCTGGCCATGATGGTTCACACCTGTAATCCCAGGGCTCAAAGACCAAGGCATTAAGATCAGTTCAGGACTGGGCAATTTAATGAGACCCTGTCTCAAAAGAAAAAAAAAAAAAAATTGAGTCCTGGGATGTAGCTTTGGAGTGGAATGCTAGCCTGAGGGCCCTGGGTTCAGTCTCCAGTACCTACAAAAGGGAGATAGGAACAGGAAGCCTATCAGAAGGTCATTCTAGTTCCCCTGCTTTGTATATATTCTCCAAGGGAAGACTTTCTCAGGATGATGGATCTCACCTCTCTCCCTGTCAGACCCAGGACCAGGACCTCAGCACAATTTCACCAGCAATCATCTTTGAATCAATGTTCCAGAGTTCAGATGACTCTGTAATTCAGGATGACCCTCTGCAGACAGGTATGTTTTCACTTTTCAATCCATCCTTTCCTGAGTCCTCGCGATGCTCACGGAAGGTCTCCTTTTTAGTCTCCTGTTGGATTCCAAAGAACAGCAAGAGCTGTGGACTTTTTTCCTTTAGTGTGCCACTCCGTTCATGAGTGGGTGGGACCCACAAATGAGGCTGTTGATGTGTCCATAGCACTGCTGGAATGGAATATGTGTACAATATGGCTTCCTGCTGCCAGATGTCTTCTGACTAATCATGCCGAAAAGCTTGCCTCTTCCCTTTGCAGAAGAGCCCCAGGATACTTTGTTCTAGTTCAATTTACTTAGTACCTATCTTTATAAAGTGTGTTTGATCAGGAAGTCAAGCCAGCTAGCTGTGAAGTGATTGGCCCAGAAAGGCTGTTTTTGTGGTGCCTATGGAGCTTGGGATGTGGATACATGTTACTTCTTCTTTTCCTTGCAGCTGCCTTGATTGATAGTTTTAATGGTGACGCAGAGTCTATCAGTGATATTCCACCACCTGCAGGAAATTCAGCATCTTTATCCCTTCCACTTGTACTGCAGCCTGGCATCTCTGAGTCACCCCAGCCTTTGCTACCAGCCTCAGCTCCGTCGGCTCCTCCACCTGCCCCTGCCCTAGGACCTGGTTCCCAGCCAGCTGCATTTGGCAGCCCCCCTGCTCTCTTACAACCTCCAGAAGTGCCTGTTCCCCACAGCACACAGTTTGCTGCTAATCATCAAGAGTTTCTTCCGCCACCCCAGACCCTCGTACCAGGACTTTCTGTTGTTGCTGGGGCTCCTGCATCAGCAGCGACGGCAGTGGCATCAGCCGTGGCAGCACCAGCCCCACCACAAAGTACTACTGAGCCCCTACCTGCGATGGTCCAGACTCTGCCCCTGGGTGCCAACTCCGTCCTAACTAATAATCCCACCATAACCATCACCCCAACTCCCAACACGGCAATCCTGCAGTCCAGCCTGGTCATGGGAGAGCAGAACTTACAGTGGATACTGAATGGTGCCACCAGCTCACCACAAAACCAAGAACAAATTGTAAGTGTTACTCCTAAGCACACCCAGGGGGGTGAAATATAGAGGACGTGTCCCTCCCATCCGTTCTGTTTTCTAGTAGTACTGGGGATTGAACAAAAGTGCCCTATCATCCAGTACATCCCCAGCCTTCAGTCTTTTATTTCAAAGGGGAGATGGCTAACTTGTCTACCTCAAAACACGTTTCCATGTAGCTGTTTCCCCCAGTAAAGTGTTGCAGATCTGGGGGGAATGGGTTGATATCTAAGATAAAGACAAGAAAACTAACTTTTTAAAAACTTTTTTATTCATTTAATTTTTACGTTCCAATCCCAGTTCCCCCTTCCTCCTTCCAACAAGAAAAACAATTTTAAAGTTTACCTAGTGAAGACACCTGACCGAATATTCCCTCTAAAGCTAATCACATCATCTAGTGCCACACAGGCTCGCCCAGCCTGTGGCCTATGGGCTGCATGTGTCCCAAGATGGCAATGAATTTGGCTCAGCATTAGCAGGCCACATCATCACCTTGTGACATCAAAAGGTTGGCCTCTCCTGTGAAGGAAAGCAGTCAGCAGACCTCAGAGGCCCAGGGATATGTCAGGAAAGCACATCTGTTTACTTCTTTTTTTGTTTTGTTTTGTTTTTTGTTTTTGTTATTGTTTGTTTGTTTGCAGTACAAGGAATCAGACCCATTGTCATACACATGCTGGGCTAATACTCCACAACCTAGCCTCAGGCCCCTGGGTACTTTTCTAAAAATGCCTTTAAGTCTTGACTCTGGAAATAATTGGCCACCATGTCAGTGTGTTTTGAGAACCTAGTATTTGCCAGATTCTATGCTGAGGATACAGGAAAATGAAAAGTGTGATTTAAGGTGTACATTTAAGTAAAGAGACTAAAATATTAATATTACCAACAGGTGAAGAGCCTGATAACACCAGCAATGAAGCAAAGCAAAACAGAGCCCTTTGGCTGAGCTCTTAGCTTATATGAAAGGGATGACTTTTAGGATGTTTATTGTTGAGAGGGGTCACATGTGTGCCATGGCATATGTGTGGAGGTCAGAGGGCAATTTGTGGGAAACATTTCTTGGTGGCAGGTGTCTCTACCTACTACGGTGTTTCCCCCCTCCTTTCTTTCTTTTAGATAAGGTCTGGTGTTAAACTCGGAGATCCACCTGCCTCTGCCTCCTGAGTGCTGGGATTGAAGGCCTGGGCCACCAAGCCAGGCTCCACTAAGCTATCTTGTCAACGCTCTTTTAGTTTTTAAAGTTTTATTTTTAATTTTTATGTATGAATGCTTTGTTTATATGTCTGTCCACTGTGCTAGCCTGGTACCCTCAGGAGCCATAATAGAACGATTAGTCCATACAAGGCATACTTGACAATAGGCAGGATATCCTCAGAGCTGTGCTAACACTTGAAAGAGTTCAGACACTCAGAGACTTGCATGGCCACACAGATCAAGTGGGCCTTGAGCCATGGCTAGGAATTGGGTGGAAAGTAGGAGGAACTACAGAGGGAAATTTGCGCATAGGTTTGAATGAACTGGAAAGATAGTTTAGAAATGGCTAGGCAGCCAGCTGTGGATGAGATGACCAGGGTCATTGGAATGACATTTCCAGTGTTCTCTCCCAGTCTGCCTGCTTAGAGTCTTTATTGTTTTTCTGAATCTGCACTTGGGAGCTGTTAAAACAAATGCCATTCTTTTCCCTGTGTGGGAATCATTTACATATATTTAAATATTGTCCTCATGCCTTTAATCCCTTTGCTGAGGAGGTATGGCCTCAGCAAAGAAAACTAAGTCTAAGGCTAGCCTGGGCTACACAGCCAGATCCTGTGTCTCCACATTCCCTCCCCCCATAAAAAGTGTCTCCCATCTCTTTTCTGTGCTATCCCCTATGTTGAGGATAAACTTACACAAGTGCTATACTACTAACCGAGCTCCATTCCTCAGCCTTCTATCATTTCCGTTTATAGTTCTATCTCCATCTTAGCCAGAAATCAACATTCTTCCCAGACTCATATTGAAGTACATTTTGTTGTTTTAAAGTGAGATTTAAAAAAAGAAGAAAGCCCCCCTACCCTGCCCCCTCCTCCCTTTTTTTTTTTTTTTTTTTTTCCCAGATAGGGTTTATCTGTGGCTTTGGAGGCTGTCCTGGAACTCGCTTGCTCTTGTAGACCAGGCTGGTCTCGAAATCACAGAGATCTGCCTGCCTCTGCCTCCCGAGTGCCCTGCCAAGAAAGCCCCTTCACGACACAAATACAAAAATACTTTTAAAATTTGTTTTTATGTGTATGGGTATTTTGCTTGCATGTATGTCTGTGTACCACATGTGTGCAGTGCCTGTGGAGGCCAGAAGAGGGCACTAAGTCCCCTAGAACTAGAGATAAAGACTGCCAAGTAGATGCTGGGACTTGAACTCTGGTCCTCTGGAAGAGCAACCAATACTCTTAAATGCTGAGCCATCTCTCCAACCCCGAGAAACCCTTTAATATAATAGGAAGTAAAGTGAGATTCTAGGACAGGTTTTTGTTTGTTTGTTTGTTTTTGTGGTTTTTTTTTTTTTTTCTTTTTGCTTGTCCCCTTTTTTGAGATGAGGGTATCTTACATTAGGTCTAATCTCAAACTCTACAACCAAGGCTGGCCTTGAACTCCTCACCTTCTAGCCTTAGCCTCCTGAGTGCTTTGTGCCTGTGCATAATGTATGGTCTTCCTAGAGACAGTATAAAGGTTGATGTGTACGGACTGCTCCAAGATGAGTGCTCTCATGCAACACCTCATTCTTCTTCGGAGGCCCTTGAGAGGCTCTTCAGTTATCATTCCAGCCTTTGTAGGAAACCCAGACTCTAATGACTTACGTCACTTGGCTACAGTCTCAGTGTGGGAGGGAGAAGCAGGTGGATGGCAAGTCTGTGACTAACTAGCCTGGGCTACATAGTAAGAGCGTGTTTCATAAGACAAAAGGAAAACAAATGAAAAAGTCCACTCACTTGCCTGGCAGGTGATAGAGCCTGGACATGAATCTGGTTTACCCAAGTCCAAGACCCACAGCGGGACTCTCCTGAGCCTTCAGGGTACTGTGTGCTCATGATAGATAACCTTAGCCTGCCCTGGGGGGTCAGTCTACACCCTGGGGAGCAAAAAGGAACTTTCCTGCTCTCACAAGAGAATTAGGATAGAAGGCCATTGCTTGAGAAAAGCAGCCTCGAAGGAGTCTTTGGACAAATGCAATCCACTGGACTAGGCATCTGGGAAGCAGCCAAGTCATGGGAACAAAGCTAACTATAATGTCAGCATGGAATGTCAAACAGTGCAGTGACCTCATATCAGTGCACAAACAAAACACCCTTCAGTACAGAAATGCCTGAACACTGAGGGTTTTCTGTCTTCTTGGGTGACCACTACAATTGGGGAAGTTATGGATCCTTGGATGGCTGCCCTATTGGAGTGGCCATAAGTGTGATTTTGTTGTGTTGTGTTTTGTTTTCCTCAGCAGCAAGCATCGAAAGTCGAGCAGGTGTATTTTACCACTGCAGTACCAGTAGCCAGTAGCACAGGTATGTAATTCCATGTTAGCTTTAAAAGAAAGTTCTCTGGACTCTTTGTCCATGCTTCCATTTTTAAGATTTTTTTTGTTTGTTTTGTTTTGTTTTTTAATCGTGAGGCAGCCTTATTAAGTTGACATTCCATTGTTTACTGAGTAGCCCAGTGTTCTCATGGCAACCAGAAGCCGATGTGTTGCTGATGAAAATGTGGGCTCCATTCTTTACCTAGTCTGAGTGCTTTCCCGTTGATAGAGCTTGTAGGTGGTAGCAGGGGAAAAAGGTTAAATCACAGTTAATGCTAAAGAGGGCAGTTGTTAATTCACGGGCTCTTTTCTAATTACAGTCAGCAGCAGCAGCATCTGGGTCAGAGACCTAAGTAGAGCTGGAAGGTCCTTGCATTTCAGAGCTGTTTTCTTTTTATTTATTTATTTTTTCTTTTGTGGTACTGAGGCTTGAACCCAGAAGCTCATGCATGCCAGTCAAACTTTGTACCACTGGGCTATATCCCCCAGCCAGGCCTTCCATTTCAAACTTACTCTTTTTTTTTTTTTTTGTATTAAACCTAGAACCAGGCATGGTGGTACATGCCTGTCCTACCAGCACCGTGGGGCTAAGGCTGGAGGATTGAGAGAATTCAGCTCCAGGTTAGCCTGGGCTGTGTAGTGAATTCTAGGTCAGTCTAGTAAAGTCCTGCAGTGACAGGTGGACTAAATAATTAAGGGAGCGAAATAAGGGTAAAGGGAAAGAGAGATAAAAATTGGGACCTAGCTGGGTAAGTGGTGGCACATGTCGGGAGGCAGAAGCAGTCAGATCTTTGAGTTCCAGCACAGCCAGGGCTACACAGAGAAACCATTTCAAAAGACAAACAAAAACTTTGGGGCCCAAAGAGATTCCTTGACTTCCCCAAGATTGTAAGTGAACTTGTAGGCAAACTCTGTGAGAAACATTCCCACCCTGTGTCCTCCCACTGGACTTCAGCTCTGTTGTACGCAGAACCCGGCTAAGTACAGAGCCCATGTGTGCATACACGTGAAAGTGAACTGAGAGTAGACAAAGAGCCCATGTGTGCATGATACCCGTGAAAGCGAACTGGGAAAGGATACGAATGTGTGCACATAACATCAAACATGGCCCTAAGAAGCTGGGGTTCTGAGCAGGTCCTGTGCAGTGTGGTGAGGGCTGCAGAAGGCAAGCAGCAATGCTGTGCGCATGTGCCTGGTGCTCAATACTGGCTGCCACTGGTTGGTCATTTGCACAGCCTGCAGGGAACACCCCCTGGGGCAGGAGGAGAGCAGAGCGTCAGCTGGACCTTGAAAGATGAGAATAATTCTTCTGAAGAACAGCAGCTGCCCGCCAAAAGTAAGAGCCTAGAGAATGAAGAGGAGAAGAGAGGCATTTGCTATGGACTGCACAGACAGGCAGCAGAGAGAGACAGAGTGCATCTAGATTGTGTGGGTGTCTCTTCTAAGAAGGAAGCATCATAAAGGGCTACAGGAATACCTGACAGGCTTTTTCCCTGAGAAAGATCCTGGTCCAATTTAAAGCATAGCAAAACCCAAAGCATGGTGTCTTTCCCACCCATCACGCTTGTCTTCCCTAGCATTCAGCTCTCCTTAGTCCGTGTTTCCCCACCCATCTTGCCTCTACTCCTGGCCACTTGAAGAGCAGTCTCTCTCACCTCTCTCACAGGGAGCTCTGTCCAGCAGATTGGCCTCAGTGTTCCTGTGATCATCATCAAACAAGAGGAGGCCTGTCAGTGTCAGTGTGCGTGCCGGGACTCTGCGAAGGAGCGGGCGGCCAGCCGGAAAAAGGGCTGTTCTTCCCCACCCCCTCCAGAGCTGAACCCCCAGCCTCCTGATGGGCCCAACCTGCAGTTGCCACCCTAGACATTTCCCTCACCCGCCCCCCTCCTCCTCCGCTGGACCCTCTTCCTGTGAGCAAAGCAGACAGGCTGAGGCTCCTCAGCCCCTCTGAAATGTTAAGTGCCATGGATGTGTCAGAGTTCCTGTCCCTCCAGAGCCTGGACATCCCATCCAATCCAGTTCACAGTGAAGCACTACTGCAGGGGTAAAAGAGATGGGCCTGGCCAGCAGCTTCTCGAGGGAAGGGCCTGTGTGTGCCCCTACAGGAACAGGGTGAGCAGGAATTGTCAGGTGTGATGCTGCCTGCCATCATGGGGTCAGAAATTGGAAGGATGAAGAGATCTGCCATCACCTTTCAGACATATTTTCTTTACTCATATCCCAGGAACATCCATTTTAAGGAACTGATCTTTGGAGGAAAACAAAAACAAGAAAAGAAAAAGAAAAAAAAAAGCTAAGTTATAAGTGAACTGTCTGGCTGCACTGTATGTCACTTTTGCTTATTGTTATGTGAACTTGGAAATTAAGGTTACTGGTATGCATAAAAGTTCTAAATGAAAGGGTGTGGTTTCCATCAATTTGGTACTGCCCATCACTTGCACTGCGGTCACTGTGGATTGGGCAGGAGAGTTCAGTGTGCTGGGTGTTGCCCCTCCTTCTGTGTCTTTTTTAATCTGAGGCAATACCTGTCTGGAGGGCCAGACCACTGCTCAGTGGAAGCGGGTAGTGGCAAGGACAGGTGAGAGTTGTGAGCTAGACAGGGTGAGATTGTTTTGTTGGCGCTTTGTTTCTGTGGAGCTTGGAGTAGATGCAGAGGGGGTCAGTCCCGTATCCTGCTTAATCCCTGCGGGCAGCTTCAGGCCCCTTGGCCATAGTGATTTGTGGTTCTGCAGGACCTGAGGCAATTGTTGACAGCCCTGTTGATAATGTGCTAGAGCTGGCTCTAGCAAAGCCACAGTCTTTGCCTTCTTGGCTCTTTCCATTTCTCAGCACTTGTCAGGGCTGGAAGCTTGGAGTGCATTCCTCCTGAGGAAGCACCTGTTTTCTCCTAAAGTGAACACAAGGCTTATGGCCAGTGGCTGTCAGTCTGCCTATCTTTGATGGTGTTTGTTTCCTCAGCAGAAGGGCTGCTTCTCCAGAGAGAGTACAGATCTAAGGGAGTTGGATGAAGTAGCAGGTGGTACCCAGTTCTAGCCAGGCTTTTGGTTATTCCCTCCAATCTCCATCCTTCACATCTCTGGATTTTGCATATAGCCTTGTATAGTGCAAACAAGGATGTGATTTCTAAACAAAAAGGAAAAAAAAAAAACTAAACGATGATCTTCTACTCAGGGTAAAATAAGAAAATTCCCCTTCCACCAAAAAGCCTGAAGCTTGCAGTCAGTTACCTCGTTTGGAATGTTTCATTAAGTTGTGTTATAGGATTTTTTTTTTATTAGTGTATTGAATTATATTCATCTGCCGGCCTTTGGCTCCAGGTTACTGCCTCTTCAGATATGAGTACAATCCATAGGAGAATGGGAGTTGCTGTCCCTCGACATTGGTGCTTGGGAAGCTCCTTGGCTAGCTGGGCCCAGGGTCTACTGCAAGGAGCAAGGTCCAGTGCCCAAACAAGACAACAAGAGAGGTGTGTGGGCTGCCCTCCTGCTGTCTGGGCCTTCCCTCAGAGCTAGCTAGGATGGTATCCTTTTAGAAGGCCCTGTCTAAAGGCAAGAGGGTCGTGGCAGCAGTAATGGGGAAAAATGGGTGAAGGTACAAGCAGCTAGTCTCCCATTCCAGGAGTTGACCAGGAGTGCTAATTTCTTAATGACATTCTATGTACCCTCTCCCCATTAGGTTTGGGCAACTGTAGGCCTCAGCAGAAATCTGTAAAATAGGAAGAACCCTTTGTTAGCACAGCGGTTAGGCCCCCTTGAGGAACCAGCTGCTTGGATACAGGTTGTCTTTGGCTGTCTCTAGCACTTGCACCTACAGGAAGCTCTGCACTCAGGCCCTTGTTGTTTTCTTTTTAACCTCTGAGGAGAGCAGTGACTGGGACCCGAAGGTGACAACCTGGGAGCTGACATAGGAAACAGGAGCCCTGGGAGGATGTGTGGAAGGTTTTAATGGTTTATATATGGCTTCTTGGTTAGCTAGGGCTGTGCTCTTAATAGTCCCCTCCTGGGTCACTGGCTTTTCACTCACCACATTGAGGGATATGGAAGAAACTTGTAAGCAGCGTGGAGGCTGATGAATTTCCAGGTGAAGGAGTTAAGTATTTATTTTTGTGGGTGACTACAGAACACAAGAGACTTGCAGGTTGAAATAGCTTTTGGAAGTGGAGGAATGGGCTTAAAATCAGTGGCTGTGCAGGGCCAGGTGTGTTCCACAGGGTAGACAGACTTCCTGTCATGCTCTGCCAGCTCTCCTCTCATCCTCCTCCCAGAAGCCCAGCTTCTAATGCCAAGGACCTTCGAAAAGAGGGAGCCCCCTGGCTAAGCTAGAGCCAGAAAGACCCTTCATGGAGAGAGTGGCTTCTCAGGGGAATGAACTTAGGGTAAGGCTAAGAATGAATTCTGGCAGGTGGATTTAAGCCCTTTCTTCCTCCCATGGCAGCCTTCACCATTGTCACCCTGTAGATCATACTTGGGGTACCACTGGCATCTCCAGTTGAGCCCCTTCTAAGAGACTAGTCCACAACAGGAGTGGAGTGGAGCTGGTGGACTTAGGAGGTGGTCAGGTAACCTTGGTCCCACCAAACTGCCTTATAAATGGAGCCCTTCCCAGACTGGAAGGTGGCTCAGTCTCCTTGACAGGGTCTGGCCAACTTCATGGGGCAGCACTGGTTTGGTGACTGGAGTGGTGTCATTTATTGACTCTTACTCCGGTTTAGAAGATCATGGTACAATGCCAAGGAGGGGCCTTGAGATGCGGGGACTTCTAGGTAGAAGGCAAGGGGTTTCCCTTCCAGAGAGTCAGTACATGGGAAAAAGTAGTTTTCCCAGTCAAGGCAGTGGACTGGTGGGGTAATGGAGGTTGATGAGGTTTTCCTGAGGCTTTGTATGATGCTGAATGTGTCCAGAGGGACAAATTTGCAGAACCTCATATTGGTATATTAAAGAAATAATAAAATAAAAGCACTTTAGGTTACTTTATCTTTAACCCAATTGCTGCAATTTCTGTTGTGTATGTATATATATACATATATATACTTTCCACAAAGTTTTATTTTTTGCTCAGAATAAAAAGTTGAGGTGTGAAAAGAAAAGCACTTACTTTGGTGCAATATATGCGTAGCTTGACAGTCGTTATCCCATGTGGCCCTGGCCCGGCCTGTTTTTCCTGCTCAGTCAGCCCTGTGCTGAAGCTGTCCATAGGGAAACACTATCGTCCATCTATCTCAGCAGCTGTTCAGTCTATGCAAGCCTTCCCCGTGTGCCTGGGCGCCCCCTCAGGCCCTCCGAGGAACTGCTGCAGCTGTTTTCTTCTGACTGTTGAGCCCCTTTCTTCTACCACTTCTTGGTCCCTTACTATCTTTCTGCTCTTCACCATGACAAAATGACCTGGGAGGGATAGACAGGTTGTTCCTAGGTAAAAAGCTGGCACCTTCTAGACTTTCATATTTGTAATCACATCCACTGAAGGTAAAACAGCTTCTCCGGTGTCAAAGTATTGATTTGTGGAACTGCACCACTATTGCTTATTTACAGCTTTTTTTTTTATACCCCCAATCAGAAATATGTTGGAAGAAAGGAATGGGCAATACAAGCCATTTCTGTACTGCTCTCTGCACCACCTGTGTTGGTTCAAAGCGGACTGCCAGGCTTCATCAAATCCAGTAATAAAGCCACTAATAATCTCCCTTACAGGCTCCCACCTAATCTTAAATGCCCAGCTGAAGACCAGAGGCATTTTAAATACACTTTAGCCAGAGCAAGATTTCCACAGATGCAGTTTGCAAGCGGTTCTGCTAAGAAACAGATAGGAAACTGTCCATCTCTATTTGAGGTAGAAGAGGTTCAGCCACAAAACCAGATGATACATATTTCTGATTGGTCAAGCTGGCCTGTTCCTGGCATATTCTTGGGGCAGAGATAAAAGGGTCTTGTTTCTTATGCCCCTGCCGTTGGGGGCGAGGGGTGGTCGATCATTAGCCTGGGCATTTCTCACTGTTACTTATGGTGGCAAGAGGGCTTCGCAGTCTGCACTGAAAATACAATTTATTGGATCTGTCAAGGCATATTGTAGTACAAGCTTTTTCTAGAAGTGGGTTTAAAAACCATGCACTGCTCCTTTGGTGGTGGCCTACTGGGCCAAAAAAGAAGTGCTAATGTCACATCACTTTCTCAACTCAATGCAGTTTCTACTTTTTTTACAGGAAATTTTTTCGTAAAACTTTTCTTCCACCAAAACCTAGGGTGTTTTTGCAATATCCTCATTGCCCTTGTGGTGCCAAGTCAGAGGCTCATCTGCCCTGGCCTCGTGTGTTCTCAGGCCTCCCAAGAGCTGTTTGATTCAACAGTCTTCATCTTTTGTTGTAATTTGGGGAAAATGTCATTGAGGTTGGAGTCCCAGGCAACTGTTCCCTAGTTCCAGTTTGGGGAAGGTAGCTGGAAACAGGCTTTTCTGGCTATCTGGTTCAGACCGGTCCAGAAGAAGCCACAAATTCTCTTTTCTAACACACACTAATCATTGGCCAGTGGTCTTGGTGACAAGTTTTTAAGACCCAAATAGTTTTATTTGGATTATGTAAAAGTATCAAATTTATTTTAAATGTAAAACATGGGAACAATGGACTTCCACTGAGCGATATGAAAACGTTACAGGTTCAGTACTTCCAAAGGAAGAAACTTCCAAACCCAAAAAAGAATAAATACGAATTTGTATTTTTGAAGAATGTGAAATAATGGTGTTTGCTTAATTGCTCATTTTGTATAAACTTAATATTGTACTTTAAAATATCTGCTATGAAGTGAAAATTTAACTTTTTGGAATTGAAAAAGCAATATTAAATACTAATGAAATCTTAATTAAATGCTTATTTAAATCTGGTAGTACATGTGGCATTACTTCCTGTCCCTGGTTGACATTCTCTCCCCACTCCCCACTGCCCAGTCATCAAGTCTTGGAGGGGGGACAGAAAGGAAAGATCGGTCATCAGGAGTCTGCAGGTTTCCTTTTAATCAAGACTCTGCTTAAGTGTTTTGTGGGGCAGAGAGCCCCCAAAGCATGAAATGAACATGTAATACCACCTGGAACCCCCAAAGCAGGCCAGACCACTCTGGCCAGCACTGCTGGCCTGCCGGAATCCGAGTCCTCAAGACTGGATATTCGTTGGCTACATTTCAAAACAGTACTGCCTTCAGCCAGGACAACGTGGGAGTGGACCCAGCTGCCAGTAGAGATGCCATCCCAGGCTGAGGGCCAAGTACCAGCAACTGCCACTGAAGACTGGCCCCTTTAGTGAAGGGAGTTGGTCAGAGTCCAGCCACCGGCCCTAGAAAGGGACAGAAGTCAGGGTGCCCGGATAGGAAATGGTCAAGGCTCCGCAGCTCCATCGCCAGCATCCTTTGGAAGGCCACCTCTGGCGGATACAGCTGGCTGGGGCGGCGCTCCGGACTTGGCTGAACCGTTCTAGTTGGAACAGAAAGGGGGGGGGGGTGTGATAAGCCTGGGAGGAAAGGCTCTAGGTTAGGCCCTGCAGGGACAAGGCCACTTGGCATCTCGACAATACCGTACTTTCTCCAAAACCTCACCCAGATCAAAGGAGGTTAAGTGTAGAGCGGTGGGGATGCTCTTGCAAACCAGCCTCCTCTGGGGCTGGGG